GAAGGCATGGACTCCCTAACATCATTACCATCAGGGAAGGCACAGACTCCCCAACACCATGACCACCAGGGAAGACACGGACTCCCCAACACCGTATGCAGGGCTCATATCCACACTCTGCCTCAGTACTTCAGCTAAAGGTTCAGACACAGGCTACACATCTAATAGGCTTTCAGCCGGGAATTGAGCATTACATTTTGTTCCTTGTTAACGGCAAACGCCTCCCATACATGGCTGCTGTATCTCAAACAGATTCTATCTGTTTAGAAGGCCCCTCAACATTCAGGGAATGTCCTCTAGGCACATATGTGGACAATACCAGGACACTTTCCCCCACAGGGCAAAATCATGCACAACCTGAAGCATAACACAAAAGGGATACCCCAAAGAAGTACACAGGGGAGGTCAAATAAACTGGTCAGCATCACATAAAAGTTCTACTACTACTAAAATCACTCCCTGCCAGAGACAAATGTGTAAACTACAAAGTAAGAAAGTAAATTCAACACGTATGTGAACTCCTGTAGCCTAATTTTACATAGATTATCTTTGAAAGATAACTTTATCCAAAAAACGAAATATACAGCAAAAATAAATTGACGATTGGTACTGAATTTCTATAGTATGTATGTAGCTTTGATCAAATATGTAAGAAATAAAGGAAAAACTACTAAAACTAGACATTTGAGATGGGAGATCGAATGTTGAATAGCATGTCTAATAACACTATTGATCAGGATTGTTGGGCAGAGTTTTGAGATAATGAAAACCCCAAGAAAAATATATCCTTTTCTCCAAGTTTCCAGACTTTTTAAGACACTCTGTAGTGAGTTGACTGAGTTTAAGTTTTTCAGGTTTATAATTCAGAATCCAGAATCCTCTTCTGCATCACACTTTGAGGATCTTGCTTAACATGCCTAAGACGATGTCTAGAAGTTAAGGAAACTAGCTGCAGACTCCTGGACCCCAAGTACGCGTGGCAGGGCTATCGCAATACTGACCTCTGGATGACGTTTTTCTTCTTCTTGATGGCCTGCCTCAGCGGCTCCCGGAGGGTCACCTGGGAGAAGTCCTGCAGTGCGGCATAGACCGTGTGTCGGATGGCATGGTTGAACACACTTTCCATTCTTCCCATCAGCACCTGCAGGCCTTTGATCATTGCGATGACCTGTAGGAGAAAGGATACTGTCAACACACCAGAGGGCTTCATCTCAGGGACAGCACTAAGACTCAGCAACTGACATGGGCCAGGAGGCTGCCTCCATTTCCTCCTTCAGCATCCTGCACGCTGGTTCAGCTGTGGCAGTCACCTTCTCTAAGAAGCTCTCTGCAAATTGCTACTGCCACAGCCAGCCCCCACCAAACTGGAAGCACCTGGGCACTAGAATGCACTTCAAATCGAAGAAAGAAAAACAAGACATTCAGGAAAGCAACTGTATTATTTGCCAGGAAAGAAAAAAGTCACAGTGGGCAGTTCAATTCTGCATCTTGCTCAAGAATGGTGCATGGTGCATGGTGCACTGAGCATGTGTGCACAGGAGAGCCATGGGAGGAAACCTGGGGCACTAAGTGGTTCCTATGGCTGGAATCACAGACACTACTAGTTCTTTATTTCATGTTTATGTTTCTGTTTGCTTATCTTTTGGGATTTGTATTCGTATAACTTGGATGGCTCTGTGTTGCTTTGCTAATCAGAAATAAATAAAAGGGGGATATTTCTATTTCAAATCTAAATGTAGGAAAATGAAAAGATGGCATATTCAACATGCAGGGGTGCAGGAAAAGATGTGCTTAAAGGTTCATTAATAGTTTTAAATATAAATATGGGAAAAATTTTAAAGGTGGAAAATAATAATCTAATATTCATCACAAAATTTGTAAGAAGAGCAAAATACTTCCAAAGTTGTGAAAATATCCAAAAGCAGAAATTAATGAAAAAGAAACCACATAATAATAGAGACCAATTAAGTTAAAAATGGTTTAAATTTTTAATACTAAAATTGGTAAATACCTAGCAAAACTGATCAAGAAAAAAGAGACAAGGTACAAACTGTCAGCATTAGGAACGAAGAAGAGGACATTAGCAGGCAGCTTAAGAGCCTGTGTGCACATACTTGCATCCAGGGACAGACACATTGATCAGCAGAGAAGAATAAAAATGAGAATTTAAATTAACCCTGGATTTTTGTCAACTGATTTTCAACAAGGATGCCAAGACGATTCAATGGGGGAATAATGTCTTTCTAACATGTACTACTAGAACAACCGGCCACCCAGAGGTGAAGTTGCATCCCTATGCAGGAAAATGTTAGTCCAACAGGCTTCCACTGCTAAATTCTTGCACATTTCATAAAAAGACCTGTTGTTAGAACTGGCCATAGGAACCGAGCTCTACGGCTCTGGAATGTTCTCTCTGAGAAGAGTGTTTTTGTATGCCTGAGGCTTGGGGCTAGACTGCTTGCACCAGTCTGACCAGACTGCTGTTGTTACGTGCCATCGAATCGGTACCAACTCATAGAAACCCTATGCACAACAGAACGAAACACTGCCCGCCCGGTCCTGGGCCAACCTCACAATTGCTGCCACGCTTGAGCCCACTGATATTGCCATTCTGCCAATCCATCTCACTGGGGGTAATCTTCCTCTTTTTCTCTGACCCTCCACCTCACCAAACATGATATCCTTCTCCAGTGACTGGTCCCTCCTGATAATATGTCCAAAGCATGAGAAACAGAGTTTGGCCATCTTGGCCTCCAAGGAGCACTTTGGTTGCACTTTTTCCAACACAGATCTGTTTGTTCTTTTGGCAGACCATGGCACTTTCAATATTCTCCTCCAACAACATAACTAAAATGCATCAATTCTTCTACAGTCTTCTTATTCACTGTCTAACTTTCATATGCATATGAGGTTATTCAGAATACCATGGCTTGGGTCAGGCACACCTTAGTCCCCAAACTGACATCTTTGCTCTTCAACACTTTATAGAGGTACAACAGATGTGTCTTATGCAATATGTCGTTTGATTTCTTGACTGCTGCTTCCCTGAGTATTGATGGTTGACTCGAGCAAAGTAAAGTCTTGGACAACTTCAATCTTTTTTCCCTTTATATGGATGTTGTTTATTGGTCCAGAGAGTTTATGCTAACAGTGTGATTTATGGTGAACAACTGCTCCTACTTTTGCTCTGAGAGTCTGCAGTCTGATTGATTAGCTGAGGTCAAACAAATTTCATCCATGTTGCTATGCATCACTGCTGAGAAAACTAAGCACATACCATGTAACATCTCTAGAAGCATATACCTTTTTCCTTTTGATGATTTTAATCTGCATGCTTTCACTGTAATAAACCACAAGTTTGAGTTTAATACGTATTAAGTTCTGTGAGTCTTTCTACTGAATCTTCGAGGGGGGCTGAGAGACCTCTGACACAACCCTTATCTCACACCACACATAAAAATGACCTCAAAAGGCATCATATACCTAAATAACACTTTAAAACTCTTTAAAACTCCTAGAAGGAAATTTCGGAGTAAATCCTGACTATCTTGGGTTGGCAACAGTTTCTTAGCTAAGACACCAAAAGCAAGAGCAACCCACAAAAGGAGAGATAAATTGGACATAACCAAAATTAAAGAGTCACGTGCGTCAAGTGACCAGAGTTGATCAAGGAACAGAGAGTGGACAAATCTCCTCACCTCTACCAGGGCAAACTTCTCCTCACTCGTGTAGTTGTAGCGGGTGGCTCGTTCATACTCCTCGGCATTGTCAGGGCAGTCTTTGTTGGAGTACTTGTCTGTTGGGTGTACGAGTTTCCACGAATACTAGTGTGGTTAGAAAGACAAGAAACACTCTACACCAAAAGCGAAAAGCTTCACTTGGATCTCATTTGCTTGGTTGCTACCAAAGCTACAGTAAGTTCTAGCTGTCTTAGCTTTAAGAAGTCAGGCAAAATGCCTGGATCAACATTCATTCTGATAGTTAGCCTTTCCAATGATCTTGTACTCACCCAATTTAATAACTTGTGTTTACCCAAAATAAGCCATAAAAAGGAACAACCTTTATGACTTGTAGGTCTTCAAATATTTATAGGCTATCAGAAATAATTTTAGTAATGCTAAAAGAAATGGATGGCTGAAACTTCAAAGAGACAATGCTAAAAATGTAACAACGAAAAATCATAATAACAAAAATTTAATTCTACTAGTATGTGCTAAAATATACGGCCCTATGTTTATAACACACATAAATTAAATATACCTACACACATTTCACATGAACATATATTCTTATTTCTTGGCCCCAAAATAAAATCCACTTCATTCTTTACCCAATGACTAAAAGCAATGATATAAACAGTATCATTTACTTTCTTGTCATGTTCAGGGGGAAAAAGCACGTCTACCTGACCACCACGGGGTGGAGGATGTTTTAATTCCTGGAATTTCCGAGTTAAACCAACTGCTGAGAACGTACCACTTCCATCACATGTGCGCTCCACTGTGACAGGAGCTGCAAGCCCTGCAGAGCCAGGTCAAAGAGCTTCCGGTACTCAGCATCTGTTTTCTGCGCCTCCTGACGGCCAGAGCCTGTTACAACCTAGAGTACAGGTCAAGAGGATCAGTAAGAAGTCACTTTCTATTTAGAAAAAACACTTGTTTAACCCATTCTGGAAATTTATCCCAAAATTCAGGTCTCAAACATGGGATATGATGAGCACAGGCTGGTCACTGCTGAAATATTAACAACCGGAGAGGCCATGTAACGGGTGCACCATGGCTCACTGTCAACTGGAGGGGTCTCCCACAGAGAGTGGTTCTATATACAGCCAGCAAAGGAAAGAAGACTTGTCATGGGTATTTACTTACAACAAAAATGATCCTATAAAGGAGAGAGGTGCGGGGAGAGGGGGAGGTAGCATTCTTTAAATATATTTCTTCTGTAGACTCGGTTTTTGTTGTTGATGTTAGTTCCTGCCTCAAGGCAACATCATGTGTCCAAACTAGAACCGCTGCATGTTTTACATCATTGTGATCAAAATTAAATTAGAGAAAAGAAACCATCTTAAAGATCAAAAGCACAAGGAAATGATAAACTGACTTTTGTCAAGTTAGCACCATGACCACAGAGTGAGGAATCACTTCAAGGGACTTTAACAACATGATTTGATTTAAGATCCCTAGAAGGAGAAACCCTAAAGAGAAAATTAACAGTAACAGAAATCTTAATATTTTAATCATATTATAATTAACAGCTCTGGTATTGTATTTTTTTAAATACTAAGCATGTTATGGTGGCAAAAATAAAATGAAATTATCCTAGGATAGTTAGGAACCAGGATATTCAGCATGGGAGAAAAAAAGAAAAGGACAGAATAAAAGTTGATCCAGAAACACCTTGTCCTACTAGAAGGTATGGAAATGTCAAAGACTGCAGAAGTCATGCATGTCAGAAAGACTTGGCAGCCAAGGTGAAGGGGCTCTCGCTGACTGGATTTGAGCAGAAATAATAATATAAGTGAATTAGTAAGTTCAAATCAGTACTGAAAAAAATTGATCAGTAACTACCTTTCATGATGCAAACGAATAAACTATTTTAATAGTTGGTAAAGAAAATGATTCAAGCTACTACTCCCCCTCTCTTCCGTAAGAACTACACCTCTGGTCAAGATGCAGGTGTGAAGACAAAGATGACACAGCTAGAATGTCATCATTTTGCAGCAGTAATGAATTAATGAGTCTAGGCCATTGTTAAAGATTGAATTGTGTCTCCCCCCCCTCCCCCAAATATGTGTCAACTTGGCTAAGTGACTATGATGTTAATGAGGTAGTACACAGTCTACAGGACTAGGGAGTATCTTCACTCAGTCTCTTCTAAGATATAAAAAAGATTAACCAAGTAACTATAAATCACAGGGACCGACTGCCACTGAGAAAGAAGAGACAGGAGCCAAGTGTGTCCCTTTAGGTCCAGGGGAAGATTAATGCCAGATAGATGGAGACCTTCAAGGAGAGTTGGGCCCAGAGCTGTTGAAAGACAAGGACCTTCCATAAGCACTGACACGAGAGGAAACTTTCTCCTAGAGCTGGCACCCTGAATCTGGACTTCAAGCCTCCTAGCCAATGGATAAATGAATTCCTGCTCAGTAAAGCCATCCAATCAGGAGACTTCTGTGATATCAGCACTAGGTAATCAAGCCAGCCTGGAACAATGACTGTCACGTGAGCGAGTGAGGGACAGATACTACCGCTCACAGTCCAGAGAACTGCCAACGAGGACCCACAGAGCTGAGAGAATAGAAGCCAATGGACCAAGCCGCTGAATCTAACACCAAAGTACAGGATACACAGGAGACAGAAATACAAGATGAATGGCACCCCAAAGCTAGGAGAGAAAGCAGGAGAGAGGGGGTGACACCTTAACAGAGACAAACCAACCAAATGAGTGTGTGAAACTTACTTGGATCCTGATACAAAAAAACTTGAAAAAAACCCAACCATTTACCAGTCAGTCGGGAAAATCTGAACAATTACTACGTAGTTAATATCATTTTTGTTGTTGTTAATTGCCATCGAGTCGGTTCCATCTCATAGAGACCCTGTATAAGGCTTCCAAGGAGCGGCTGGTGAGTTTGAACCACCAACCTTGTGATTGAAATGATCCTGCAGTCGAGTGCTTATCCTACAGTGCCACACCAGGACTTCTAAGTCAATATTAAGAACTATTAAAAGAAAACAGGATAAAGGTATATATTAAAAGACCTCTTATGTAGACATACAATGAAGTAATTCCAAAGGTTACTCTGGATCTGCCTCAGGCTCACCTGGGTCAAGGTGTGGTGTTAGGAAAAGTTTGGATGAAAGGAGGAGGTGATCAAGTGGAACTATGAGAGGTAAAGACTGCTATTTCCCTTTATAAATTTCTAATTTTATACAGTGGAAAGTTAAAGAATAAAATCCACCCACAAAACACTGCTCTGAGTGTGGTGCTGGTTATTGCCAGGAGGGGACCAGATCTCAGGCCTCTCAGAGACCTCAGCAGCCTTGCATATAGCACCTCTGGAGTGCCGGTACCACTACAGAGGGGGTGACGCCAATTGAGCTGCTATCCTGACTTAAAACAAATTGAGTCCAAACAACTGAGTAAGGGATAGCTTCAGAAAGAATAAAGTACTTCAGAATAAATTTAACAAAAAAGGTGGAAAGTTGCATTCTAAAAACTGTACAATAGTTGAAAGTAATTAAAGAAGATTTAAATAAATAGAAAGATAGTCCATGCCCGTAGATTAGAGGACTTGTTACAATATGGTAATTCTTCCCAAGAGATGTGTAGACTCAGTGCAATGCGATCGGAAAAATAATCCCAACCATGTTTCTTTCAGTAGGAATTGACAATTGATCCAAAAAATCAATATGGAAATGCAAAGAATCCAAACAGCCCCCCAAAATTCTTGAAATTCAAAACTACTTTGGAGAACTCAAGCTTTCTAATTGGGAAGTTCACCACAGTAAACAACAGCGTCGTATACCTACTCCTTATTTACTATCTGAGTATACAACATTTTTTTTACAACAACAGCAAAACATCGGTATCTGACTATTTTTGCACATGAAGGAAATACTCGTGGCAGTAACAAATCAAAGGTGAGAAGTGAGGATAACACTGACCGTTATTTGTGTCTGTTGTGTCAACTTTGCTGGGTCAGGATGTTTAGGGTTGTCACGTAATACTGTAATTTGGCGGTTACATAATCATGACATGATTTGATAGTTACGTAATGATGCTAAATCATTCCCCATTTGTAATCCAATATGGTCATTCTCCATTGTCACAGAACACCAATTTTCAAATGTCACTTATTTAGACCATGTAGGTAAATGAACAGAGGGGTCGATGTTAGAAAAGACATGGACATCAATGGAACTGAACTGAGAGCCAGACCTTCAACAAGGGGGTCAGAGCCATTCAATGGGGAAAGAATGGTTTCTTCAAGAAATGGTGCAGTGGTTACTGGATTCATACAAAAGAATGAAGTTGTACCACTGTCTCACACCATATACCAAAATTAACCAAAGTATTTAATAATTTTGAAACAAAGTGTATGATTTGTTGAAAATAAAGCTGATAATCTTGTCTGTAAACCTTCATTTAATTCACAATAAAAAGTTTAAAAAAAAAGCCATGCTTACTTGTTAAACAGAGACTGGTAGGACCCTGATCACCTTTAGGTCTAGAACTGAACTCATTCAATTTTCAGGGAAGCAACAGAGAGGTAATACAGGTGGGGGCAACAACTTTAGTGAGGTACACACGCTACAGAATAGTCAACCATTTGAGGCTAAAAGGGCAGCCTGGTAGCGTAGTGGTTACGAATCGGGCTGTTAACATCAAAGTCAGCAGTTCAAAACTACCAGCCGTTTCGCAGGCTCTCTGCTCCTGTAAAGATTTACAGCCTCGGAAACCCTGTGGAAGGTTGCTATGAGTTGGAACTGACTCCACGGTACTTAACAACACCAACAATCTATTTCAAAATGCACTGAGTAAGACTGTGATGAAAGTAAAAAAAAAAAAAAAAAAAGTCCAGAAGACACAAAACTATAAAGACAGAAAGAAAGGAACTCAGTGGTCACCTGAAAAGTTGGAGGAAATGGTGAATGACTAGGGATTCAGGGGTTCTTTTTGGGGTGAAGAAAATGTTCTAAAATGAATTACTGTGATAACAATTGTTGTTAAGTACCATGGAGTCGGTTCTGACTCATAGCAACCCTGTACCGGGTTTCGGTTTCCCAGGCTGTAAATCTTTACAGGAGCAGAACGCCTCATCTTTTGCCCGTAGAACAGCTGGTAGTTTCGAACTGCTGATCTTGAGGTTGGAAGCCCAAATCGTAACCTCTATGCTACCAGAGCTCCTTTGTGATAACGGTACAACTCTGCAAATATACTAAACACCTTTGAATTGTACAATTTAAATGGGGAAATTGTATGTTTAATATAGATCTACAAATGTGTTATAAGGGAACCCTAGGGGTCCTGGTGTGGTGCTGTAGAATCAGTACTGGACTGGGAACTGCAAGGTTGACAGTTCGAACCCACCAGTCACTCCTGAGAAACCTTATACAGGGTCACTATGAGTTGGAACTGGCTCGATGGCACTTAGCAACAGTGGTGCAGTTAGTTAAGCACTTGGCAACAAAAAGGTTGATGGTTTGAACTCAACAAATATGTTCACATTAGAAAGATCTGGTAATCTGCTTCAATAAAGCCAAGAAAATTCTATGGGCAAGTCTACTTGGTCACGTGGGGTGGCCAAGAGATGGAATTAACTTAATTAATAGCATCCAGTCACAACTATGAAGCTGTTCATAAACACAAACTGAGCAAAGCATTCAAAGACAGAGGTTTTCCTGCTATTTATTACCCATAATCTTAATCACAATGGTACTACAACAAAAACCAGGATGAAGGGAAGCAGACCATTAGTTGTCAAATGCTCTGGTCAGACGGGGTGCCAACTCCACATGTTTTTTGAGACTTCCCCAAGAAATTAATTTATAAATAAATCCTGAAATGCAAGAGGGGCCGGTCCTGACAATGGTTTGGAGCGCTTCTCTTTATAGGATGAGCCAGCCACATGCTGGCGTTTCAGGGTCACCGTGGCAAGAACTGTTCCATCCAAATTGTTCCTGAGAAAGCTACAGTACTGAGCGCCAACCGCTTGTGAAGACCAGGCTGTGTATGCTCTGCTAATACCCCATGTGTTTTTGGACTACGCACCACCATCAACGCCCCTGCAAAATTACCATGCGACTTTGCCCTAACTTTTCTGCCTTGCTCCTGCCCTTCTCTGTGATGAAACCTGCCTCATAGCCATCACCATCCACCCACCCCACTCCCTCCCTGAGTCACGCCTCACAGTGTGGGGAGAATGAAAACAGTCATAATGATACACCAAATCCAGCCAAAAAGCAGGAAGAAATTTCAAAGGCTTCCAACTCCCAGCCTGCTTCCTGAACACGCAGATCCCACACACTCTGCCACCCATCTCTGACTTTGGGACTGTCTTTCCTTCTAGACTTGGAGCGGTTTTGAGCCTCAAAGAGGCCACAAGTCGATGTTCTCCTTTCCTTCCGGGTCTCGGTTGGCTGCTTGAATTCACGACACAAGATTAGGAAATGTCACTTAATGGCATTTTTGTCATCCTTTTCTTTTGGGATTGCACTATGATTCTCTTTAATATGATGCTGTTTGTTCAGCTGAACAGACAAAAGCAATTGTGATTCTACTGCATGTCAGTTACAGTGGGTGCGTTTTGATGTAGCCTGTACTGTTTAATATCAAAGTAAAGAAAATTAATATTTGGAAGCAAAAAATACAAAGATTCCTATTGTCCCCATGTAGAGCTCAGGCTCCTGGTTGTGGACGGGGCTCACCTCACTATTGCTGTAGCGTGCCAGCTCTGAGATGAAGCGCATGTGGTCCTCTCGGATCTGGATCATCTGTTCACAGATGTTGTACTGAGGGCTGCTGCTGGAAGACGTGCAAGTCCATCTGGGTTGGAGGAGATATGGGATTAGCTAAAGCGCTCTGGTGTGGAGATGCAGGATAAGCACTAGACTGCAAGGTTAGGTTGAGCCACGAGGTCTGCAATTCAAACTCACCAGCTGTTTCTCAGAAACCCTATACAGGGTCTCTGTGAGTCGGAGCCTACGTGTCAGCGCTTAACAACAAACAACAAAGAACACTCCAGCACAATGCTTACAAGTCACAGCAGCAAATTACAGGGCTGTGCCGTTACTATTCACACCAGCCCATGAGTGTGCCTGTGTCCTGTGTACAGCCCACAGGGAGTTCATGTGTCTCATGGGCAGCCTGTGTGTACCCACTATGAAGTCCTGTGTGCACCCCACGCACTAAACCCACAGACTTAAATTCTGTATGTTTGTTAAGTGCCATCAAGTCTGTTCTGACTGTACAGCATTTCTGAGGAGCAGCTGGTGGGTTTGAACTGCCCACCTTGTGGTTCGCAGTCCAGTGCTGATCCACAGCACCACACCAGGAGTCCTAATTTTGCTTGTTATTGTTGTTAAGTGCCATTGAGCAGGTTCCCACCCTGTATAGGGGTTTTGAGGAGCGGCTGCTGAGCTTGAACCACTGACCTTGCAGTTCAAACAGCTTTGCAGTCTGGAGCATTAACTCACAGCACCACACCAAGACTTCCCAAATTCTGCTTAACAGAATGGAAATAAGTGCCCAACATTCGTCACATCTTAATTTATTAATTTTACTGTGGCGCTGGATGATAAGTATACAACTGCAAGGTTGGCTTGAACTGCAAAGTTGGCAGTTCAAATTCACCTAGGAAATCCCAACACAGGGTAGCGATGGGTTGTATCTGACTCGACAGCACTCAACAACAACAACGACATGACTCTGAGGTTATTTATACCTTATCTGTTATAGTCACGTTAGCTAGAAATCAGTCATAGTGGGATATCAGGAAACAGTATCAGTCAGAACTTCACCTAGAATTGAAGCTGAAAAAGGTTTCGATTCAGTGACTATAAATTCTGCAGATGAGAAATAGTTTAAAGAAGATCGCATATCCCATTGAATGTCAGATTTATTGGAAATCAGTTAACACAGACCAAGCTACGTGTGACCACTTTTCATGCAGATAGAAGTTCTGGTGGCACAGAATCAAGCACACACCTACCCAGCGGCTCCAGGGTAGAAAGACGTGGAAATACGGTCTTTGAAGAAAATTCTGTGGAGCAGTTCTACTCTGTCACATGGTTTGTGACAATCAACTCGAGGATACCTCACAACAGTGCCACAATGAATGGTGCTGATGTGTTTAAAGAGTTATTTTAAGAAGCAAGAAGAACATGCAACACATGTATGTGGCCCATAAAACTTTAAACATGTATTATCTGGACTTAAAGGAAAAAGTTTGTGGACACTGAGTAATAAGACTGGGATGCAACAGTATTTGTCAAAAATAAAACAAAATTCTACAAGACTCGATTGTTGTCGGTAATGTGCTGTCAAGTCGGTTCTGACTCACAGCTACCCCGTACAGGGATTCTGGGGAGCAGCTAGGTGGCTCTGAACCACTTACCTTGTGGTTAGCAGTCTAGGGCTTATCCTACAGGGCCACACTAGGGTTCCTCTCAATTTTGTTGTTATTGTTAGGTGCCATTGAGTTGTTACCTACTCATGCACAACAGAAGGAAACGCTGCCCAATCCTGGGCCAACCTCACTACTGTTG